AAATACATAAATCATTACTGGTACAACTGAATTGACTAAGTACTCATGCACACACCACTTCGAGCCTTCTTGACAGGTGGAGCTTTCCCTTTATTTGGGGGCTGAGGTTGTTGAAAGGCAGGTGACATCATCTGGGGACTAGGTCTGAAAGCATCAGATAAATTTAAAAAGTGAAAACCAAGGCATTGTGTACTAACACTGGTTGCCGACTGTGCATCGGTGGTTGGCCCTGTGACATCGGATTCATCGGATATCGGCGATCATAAGTAATATCATAATGCTTGGTATGCGGTAGAAAGGCAAATGTTGGAGGTTCCATTGGAGCAATGTTCTGCAAAATTATGAGCTTGAAGCTTTCTTTAGTAACACCTGTTAACAATCCATATCTAGCCTGATCTAATTAATATTCTTGACAAAGCAATCAAGATATAACAAGAAAGATTCGCTCTAGTGGTTATCACAAGTAAAACATCCTTTCAATTCAATTATTGTGCGGTCACAGAAAACAGAAAACCTCTTGCCTAGTAGTTCAACCCCTAAAATCTTTTGACCCCCTTAAAGACACGCTTTTTACAGGCATGCTTGAAGATAACCAACGTAAGCAAGTAGCTGTAGCCGCTTTTAGTTAGGATAGCCCACCGTCACGCTAAACGTTACGCTGACTCAAAACATTTAACTTGCAGAAACAAAGAACGTTCATGTGGTGATTCGTAACGAATGTGAATATTTACGTGAAACTGAGAAGTTATGCCACAGAGTGTGTTCACTTGAGCACTTATGCTACTTCCTGCATTAAAATTGGATATGATAGAAGTTATATTTCTCAGCAGCACTTCAGAAGTTTGTGATTCTACAAATTCACAATGCGTCTTGCCAGCAATTTAGTAATGGGATATTGGCTGGGTGTTTACCCATAGAATTTAGACTACCAATCTATAAACCTACAGAAAGGTTAGGTCCACTGGGGTAGGGCAGTATGAGTAACGTTTTCCGGCGCTTGTAATATAATTGCAGGGCAGGATTCCTCATCTAAAAAAAATGAACTCACTTTGCATATGCTGTCCATGAGAAGTACAATTGAGCAATTGATTAACTAACCTGAAATGACTCTTGCAAATGCAAAAAGGCTGGAGGCATATCATAGTGAGTGACGAGAGGGAATGGCGTATTCGCTGTGGGTGGTTGAGGTGGGCCTTGGTCGGAGTTGGAACCACCTTGCGTGCTATTGCCAAACATAGAACACGATGTAGGACTAAGCGCTGTGCTAGACATTCCAGAGTTCATAGACATCTAAATAGCGAAGGCTTAGACAAAACAAAAACTCGGGAGTTCGCGGCAACTTATCGCGAGTGTGATCAAGCGGAGAAGTTTCCGCATGATTCACCCACTCACTTGGTGTTGTATCAAAAAAATACAACAAACAGAACAGAATAACCTGGTCGCTAGAATTTTGCTGTGCACTGGCCGGTGATTGCTCGGACTTGAGATGACCGCTGCCATTTGATGAAGGACGCATGGAGTTCGGGGGGTAAACATTTCTATAATGATTTATATAGTAAAACAGTTTGTGGATAGAAAGATCTTTGTGTGCACTCAATCACATTTTCTTTTTGTACATTAAAGAAGCAGAGATATAACAGTAGATGAGTGGATAGAGGATGGAGGAAAGGAGAAAGTGAGTAGATTCGTATGGGAGAATGACTGAATGAATGAATGCGTGGGAAAAAC